CTCTCTCTCTCTCTCTCTCTCTCTCTCTCTCTCTCTCTCTCTCTCTCTCTCTCTCTCTCTCTCTCTCTCTCTCTCTCTCTCTCTCTCTCTCTCTCTCTCTCTCTCTCTCTCTCTCCTCTATATATATATATAGACACACACATGACCCTGTTCTTTCTGTTCCCTCTTCTCTCTCCCTTCCCCTCCCTCCTTTCCTTCCTCTATTTCCTTCTGCCTCTCTACTGCAACTGTCATCTTGCCTCCCCGCTAGCTAAGACCCTGATGTGGCAATAATCTTATTTCTAATCATGAATTTCACCTAATGAATAACATAGTAAATGCTTATGAATTAAATGCTAATGAATAGTGTGTATACATCATTACTAATATCTTACTACATGTACATCTTGACGTGATGCGGCCATATGTTTTTAAATATGTGGACCCATTGGATTGGACCACCAAATCGCCGATCTCAGGAACTAGGGCATTCTGCTAGGCTAGAACGGTTTCCTACGATAGAGTTTGGCACAAATACGAAAATAACAAGCTGTTTAGCGCATTGCGCTACGTCCTTTTGTTGCATTTTCGCATTTCCGTAATCAGAATAAGCCCCGCCTTCTTCGTGGATGAACATGAATGGGTCAACGACGTGACCCGGCCGTTACTGCGTGTAGGTGTTTGGCGAGACTGTTTGCTTTTCGTAAATAATAAAAGGCCCGACCGATGCATTTCGCACCGAAGTGGAAAAATTAGGCATTTTTACCCGCTTTCGGAAGTGAATGAGTGCGTCATTCATTGAACATTAAAAATTAAATAATTCCGAAAATCCCTAACCGCGCAACTCGATTGTTTTAGCCAATGAACGTAGCTGTGTGTGTGACGAATATGATAATGCTTATTTGACTGTGCTTGTGCATAATGTCTATAGACAGCAGGCCTTAGTAAGCATGACACAAAGATTCATTAAAATTACTTAATTTTAGTGTGTATGCAACATACACGTTATTGACGCTAAATGACAACAGATTCACTGTCCAGACTTGTAAACAATTTTTTTGTTTAGAACAGCAAAGACGCCGCTATAATAACCATGTATCGTCTTCTATTGACTTCATTGTAATGCTTCGACCCCCTAGTATGATAGATACATGAAATCATGTCACTTTTGTTTCTCTCTATACACACACGTATATATGGGCTTTGCACCTCCAGACAAAAATAAAGCGAAATACAGCCAACTCATCTACGAGACATGACCACCATGCATTTTGACATTGTACATATTCATAACCACAATTGCACATTGTTGGAATCTTTTGCAAGCACATATTAATTTAACTTAGTGGGGAGGGGAGATCCAAGGGCACTCACACGAATAAATTTGTGCATGATGCAAAACGATGCATTCCAGTCCATTTCTGAGATAACTTTTCAAATAAATGTGTTACCGCCTAGGACAGCGCGCTAGTGCCACATTTTAAAGCTGCACAACCCAATTTGTTTGCAACTATCTGCATTTGCATTACATTATTGACAGCTACACTTTTAGTTAGAAGATCCTTCTTCGTACCTTGACTTCAAAATCTACAAATGTGGAATACACTTTTGGATGAAAATCACTAACGAAAATCAAGAATTACATGTGTATAAAATGTCTTTATTCTATAAAATATTTTGTTTAATATCAATGCACAAGACAACAGGTTCATTGTATCAGGAGTAGATAATAGAAGATCTTCTATTATCTACTCCTGATTGTATGGTAGCGAACGATCAATATAGACTTTTCGGCATCTTCTTTTTAAGCAGCGTTTGCAGAATGCCCATACAGCAACGGTGAGTGGCTACAGCTACCTATCAATCACCCCTGGCAGATAGGTTAATTCCATGTTAACTCTGGACACAATAATTTTAAGTACGAGACTTCATAAAATTAATTGTTGAAGGTAACGAAATAACTATAGTTGCACGCTTGTGTAATCAAGCAAGTCACTTGCATTGGAAATCAGATCGATTTTTAGTAAAGTACTAAAATTAATGTGGACTTAACGATGACTTGCGTAGAAAACAATTAAATTACTCGACGAATCATAATTTTGAAATCACTATATAGTTTTTGAGCAGTCTGGTATAATCCAAATATTAACCCAATAATCAACTGAGCCAAATTCAAGGGACTACTAAAACCAAAACAATCATTATATTAGAGCCACTTGATTCCACCTATTTAAACCAGATCCACAAACGATGCTATCTTGACAGGCGGCGTGCGCTTACAAAGGAAGACGAGTTTTCGATACACGATTTTACGATGATCTCAAGATGAACAGCTCATAGGAACCATACGAAGAAAGACGTAGCGATGGAAGCCTTCCTAATAATACAACAACAATACACCAGACGATCTATTCCTATCACAAACGCACGTACACTCACTCACATACGAACAATGCCAAAACGATTCGCTCCAACAGGCAACCATCACGTTCTACTAACGACTACCGTATATACTCGCGTAATAACCGCAAATTTGGCCTCAGATTTCAACCCTGTATTTGCTCTGCGGTTTATAAGTGCGCCATACCGTGAGGGGAAATATACTAGGCGCAATACTTGGTTACCCGATTCAAATTGAGGTGCGGCTTATAGGCGCCCCGCGGTTATTACGCGATCATATACGGGAGTAGTGGTAGCCGCAGCAGCAGCAGCAGCAGCAGCAGCAGCAACAGCAACAGTAACAGCAGCAGCAGCAGCAACAGTAACAGCAGCAGCAGCAGCAGCTAGAGAGATGCTGAGAGATAGAGAGAGATGCTGGGAGATGTAGAGGGAGGGATGTTAGGAGATAGAGAGATACTGAGAGATGAGGAGAGATGCTGAGAGGGAGGTGTGCAGGTGTGAATACAAGTGTGATTGCTATATGACCTCCACACAGCTCATAGAAATGATGCTGAGAGATGAAGAGAGATACTGAGAGATAGTGAGAGATCATGCTGAGAGGATGGGGAGAGATGCTGAGAGATGCTGAGAAGATGGAGAGAGATGGCGAGGGAAGGAAGGAGAGATAGAGAGATATACTGAGAGAGTTGCCGATGGACATAGGGGGAGGATGAGAGATAGAGGAGAAATAATGAGATTATAGAGAGAGAAATCTGAAGATGGAGAATATGCTGAGAGATGGAGAGAAGATCGAGAGATGGCAAGAGATGCCTGAAAGATGGGCAGAGATGCTGAGAATGGACGAGAGTGCTGAAAGGATGGAGAGAGATACTAAGAGATACTTGAGAGATGGAGAGAGATGCTGAGAGATAGAGAGGCTGCTGAGAGATGAGAGAAATGGAGAGAGATAGTACAGATTCTGAGAGATGGAAGAGAGATAGAGAAAAGAGATGTGAGAGATAGAGAGAGATACTGAGAGATAGCGAGAGATACTGAGTATAGAGAGAGATACTGAGAGCATAGAGAGAGATACTGAGAGATATCTGAGAGCTGGAAAGCGAGCTGCAAAGATGCTGACCGATGAGAGAGCGTGGAGAGAGAGAGAGAGAGAAATAATGAGATATAGAGGATAAATGCTGAGAGATGGAAGAGAACTAGAGAGAGCATGTCTGAGGATGAAGAGAGATTGGAGAGAAATGTGACAGGGGATGTGCCTCAGGTGTTTCAGACAGGTGTTTACCTCAGTACGTCCGTCGAGCGCAGACACAGCACCGACCCGCCATGGACGAGAAGTCGGACTACGAGATCCTCAGCAAGCCGACAAGCCCGCGCCGCCCGCCGCATGCGACCGCAAACCCGCCCCGCCGACGCTGTGCCAACGCTCGTCTCCTGCGGCATCGTAGTTAGCTCGGAGAGCCTTGCGAACTGCTGAGCTGCGGTGTCCTGTTCGTGCGAGTCGTTACTGCGCTGAAGCTGCGAGTTCTCTGTGTTCTGCGAGGTATACTGCCTGAGCTGCTGGACCTCCGGATAAGCCCGGCCGGGAGCTGTTGTGCGAAGGCTTGCCGGCTGGAGCTGCGGTGTGGTTTCGTGCGTGGTTGCTGCTTGAGTCTGCCGGCATCCACCGCGGCCGCGGATGTGTCTCGTGTCCGAGGTTGTGCTGAGCGCCGGGTGTGTTCGTGCCGAAGGTTGCTGCTGGCTGCGGCCCCATTCAACCTGTTTCGTGCTGTTGCGGCTGAGCCTGCGAAGGCGAGCCTGTGTTCGATGTGTGGTACTGCTGAGCTGCTGGTTGGTGATTCGTCGTTGAGGTTGCTGCCGGGACCCTGTGTTCTGCCGCAGGTTACTGCTGAGCTCGGTCATGTGTTCGTGCCGAGGCTTACTGCTGAGCTGCGGTGTGTTCGGTGCGGTTACTGCGCAGCTGCGGTGTGCTTCGTCCGAGCGTTACTGCTGAAGCTCCGGGTGTGTTCGTGCCGAGGTTACTGCCTGAGCTGCGGTGTGTTTCGTGCGAGGCTTACTGCTGAAGCTGCGGTGTGTTCCGCTGCGTCGGTTGCTGGCCTGAAGCCTGTGGTCGTGTTCGTGCGAGGCTTACTGCCTGACTTGCCGGTGTGTTCTGCGAGCGGTTACTGCTGAGGCTGCGGTGTTTCGTGTCTGACTTACTGCTGAGCTGCGGTGTGTTCGTGCGAGGTTGCTGCTGAGCTGCGGTGTGTTCGTGCGAGGTTACTGCTGAGCTGCGGTGTGTTCGTGCGAGGTTGCTGCTGAGCTGCGGTGTTCCTGGCGAGTTACTGACTGAGCTGCGGCGTGTGTCTCGTTGCGAGTTACTGCTGAGCTGCGGGTGTTCCGTGCGAGCGTTACTGACCTGAGCTGCCGGTGTTTCGCTGCGTGGTTGCCTGCCTGAGCTGCGGGTGTGTGCGGTTGCGTGGTATTACTGCTGAGCTGCCGGTGTTTCGTCGAGGGTTACTGGCTGAGCTGCGGTATGTGTTCGTGGTGAGGTCACTGCTGAGCTCCGGTTGTCGATCAGGTTCTCGCTGCTGGGAGCTTGCCGGTGTGTTCCGGCAGGTTACTGCTGAGCGCGGCGGCGCCGAACCCATTGTCCGTGCGTGCGTTACTGCTGAGCTGCGGGGCGGCTGGTGGTGCTGAGCTTGCGGGTATCACATGTCGGCGAGGTTGCTGCTGAGCATGCGGTGTGTTCCTGTGCGCCGGTACTGCTGAGCTGCGGGCAGCGACTAATGTGTTCGTGCGAGTTACTGCTGTAGCTGCGGTGTGTTCAGTGCGCAGGTTTACTGCTGCAGCTGCGGTGTATTCCTGGGTTCCTCGTGCGTGGTTGCTGCTGAGCTGCGTGTGTTGTTCGTGCGCGAGGTGCTGCTGCAGCTGCGGTTGTGTTCGTGCCAGGTTACTGCTGAAGCTGCGGTGAATGTTCGCTGCCGAGGTACTGCTGCATGCCTCGGTTGTGTTCTTGCGGTGGTTGCTGCTGAGCCTGCCGGTGTGTTCCCGTGCGAGGTTGCCTGCTGAGCCTTGCGGTGTTTCTCCGAGGTTACTTGCTGAGCTCGGTATGTGTTCGCGCGAGGTTACCTCGCTGAGCTGCGGTCTTGTTCGCTGCGAGGTTACTGCTGAGCGCGGTGTGTCGTGACGAGGGTACTGCCTGCAGCTGCGGTCCCCTGCCTGGGGCGGCTCCCGCGGTGTTCGTGCTGGTTACCCGCTGAGCTGCTCGCTGTTCGTGCGAGGTTGCTTTCTTGGAGCTCGGGCTCGTTCGTGCTGATGGTTACTTGCTGAGCTCGGCCCCCCTTCCTCTTATGTAGTGCCGTGCGAGGTTGCTGCTGAAGCTGCAGGGGTGTTCGTGTGAGGTTACTACTGACATCGGCTTGTTTTCGTGCGTGGTTACTGCCTGAGCTGCGTGATGTTTCGTGCGAGGTACTGCCGTGGAAGCTGGCTGTGCTGTTCGTGCAGCGTTACCTATGAGCTGCGCTGTGATGTTCCGTGCGAGCGTTACTGCTGGAGCTGCCGTGTGTTCGTGCGAGGTTACTGCTCCAGCCTGCGCGCGTGTGTTGCGTGCCGTGTGCGTTGCTGCTGAGCGTGCGGTTGTGCTTCGTGCTCGTGCTGCTGAGCTGCCGTGTGTTCGCCTGCGTGGTTGCTGCTGAGCTGCGTGTTCGTTCGTGCTGAGGTTACTGCTCTGAGCCTGCGGCATGTTGTTCCGCGAGGTTACTGCTGAGCTGCCGGGTCGCAGCGCAGATAATGTCGGGGCCCTCCTGTTTCCGTGCGTGCGTTGCTGCCTGAGCTGCGCGTGTCATTCGTGCGAGTGTTGCTGCTGAGCAAGATGCGGACTTGTTCGTGCGTCGTACTGCTGAGCTGCGGTATGTTCGATGCGAAGGTTACTGCTGAGCTGCCCGGTGTGTAGTTCCGTGCGAGGTTACTGCTGAGCTGCGGTGTGTTCGTGCGAGGTTACTGCTGAGCTGCGGTGTGTTCGTGCGAGGTTACTGCTGAGCTGCGGTGATGTTTCGTATGCGAGCGTACTGCTGAGCTGCGCGTGTGTTCCGTGCGGGGTTACTGCTGAGCTGCGCGTGTGTTCGCTGCGAGCGCTTACTGCTCGAGCCTGCGGTGATGTGGTTCGTGCCCGTGACTGCTGAGCTGCTGGTGATGTTCAGTTGCGGGTTGCTGCTGAGCTGCGGTGTGTTCGGCGAGGTTACTATCTGAGCTGCGGCCTTTTGTCTGCGAGGTTACCTGCTGAGCGCCGGTGTGTTCGTGCCCGTGCGTTACTGCCTGAGCTGCGGGTGTTCGTGCAAGAGGTTGGCTGACCTGAGCGCGGCCGCCGGTGACACGTGTTCGTGCGAGCGTTACTGCTGAGCACGTGTGCGTTGCTGCTGAAGCTGCGGCTTGTTCCTGTGCCGTGGTTTACTGGCGGAGCTAGCTGGCTTTGCTGCGCTGAGCTGCGGTGTGTTCCGTGCGAGGTTGCTGCGGTGTGTTCTGTGCAGAGGTTACTCCTGAGCTGTGTTGCCCGCTGAGCTGCGGTGTGTCCGTGCGAGTTACTGCTGAGCTACGCCCCGACACCTCCATCCTCCCCCAGCTCACCGCTCCCCTCACGTATCCTTGCGACGCAGCGGTGTTGTTCTTGCGAGGTTACTGCTGGCTGCGGGTGTCTCGTGCGAGGTTACTGCTGAGCCTGCGGTGCTGTTCGGTGTCGAGCGTTGACGCTGAGCTGCGGTCGTGTTCGTGCGAGCGGTTACTCCTGAGCTGCGGGCCTCCCGTGCTTCGGCCGAGGTACCTGTGAGCTGCCGCTTAGGTGTTGTCCGTGCGCGCGGTACTGCTGAGGCTCGGTGTTCCCTGTGCGCGGTTACTGCTGAGCTGCGTGTGTTACGTAGCGAGTTACTGCCTGAGCTGACGAGTCGTGTTCGTCCGAGTTACTGCTGAGCTGCGTCTGTGTTCGTGCCGCGGTTACTGCTGAGCTGCGTGTGTTCTGTGCCGCGGTTACTGCTGAGCTGCGGGGCGTTGTTCGTGCGTGGTGCTGCTGAGCTGCGAATCCACCTGTGTTCGTCGAGCGTTACTTGCTGAGCTTGCGGTGTGTTCGTGCGAGCTTATGCTGCAGCTTGCGGTGTGTTCTGTGCGTGTTGCTTGCTTGAGCGTGGCTGTGTTCGTGCGTGTTGCCTGCTGAGCTGCGGTCGCATCGTGTTTCTGCGGAGGGTTACTGCTGAGCCTTGCGGTCGTGTTCGTGCCAGGGTTACTGCTGAGCTGCGGCTGTGTTCTGTGCGAGTTACTGCTGAGCTGCGTTGTTCGGCGTTGGTTTACTGCTGAGCTGCGGTGTGGTCGTGCGCAGGTTAACTGCTGAGCTGCGCCCCGAACTGTGTTCCTGCGAGGTTACGCTGAGCGCGGACTGTGTCGTGCGAAGCGGTGCTGCTGAGCTACGGTGTGTCTCGTGCGAAGGCTTGCTGCTGAGCTGCGGTGTGTTCGTGCGAGGTTACTGCTGAGCTGCGGTGTGTTCGTGCGAGGTTACTGCTGAGCTGCGGTGTGTTCGTGCGAGGTTACTGCGGCTGCGGTACACGTTGTCCCCTTTTTTTTTTTCATGTGTTCTTCGTGCAGAGGTTACTGCTGAGCTGCGGGTGCTTCTGCACGTGGCTGCTGAGCTAGCGGTCTGGTCGTGCGAGCGTTTACTGCGAGCTAGCGCGCTGTGTTCGTCGAGGTTACTGCCTGAGCTGCGCTATGTGTTCACTGCGAGGTTACTGCTGAGCTGCGTGTTTCGTCGTGGTTGCTGCGTGTGTTCGTGCGAGTACTGCTGAGCGCGGCTGTGTTCGTGCAGAGGTTGCTGCCTGAGCTGTGCGTGTGTTTCGTTCGCGTGCGTTGCCTGCTGGGATCTCGGGTTCTGTGCGCAGGTTGCTGCTGAGCTGCGGTGCAGCCAATTCTCGCGAGTGTTACTGCTGCAGCTGCGGTGTGTTCTTGCCCATCTGTTGGTTACTGCTGAGCTGCGGTGTGTTCGTGCGAAGGTTACTGCTGAGCTGCGCGGCTGTGTTCGTGCGGAGCTTACTGCTGAGCTGCCCGGTGTCGTTCGCTGCGAGCGTTTACTGCTGAGCTCGGGCCAGAGAAGAGTGTTCGTGGCGAGTTACTGCTGAGCTGCGGTGTGTTCCCCCGTGCTGGTGGTTATCCTGCTGAGCTGCGGTGTGTTCTGGTGCGAGTTACTGCCTGAGCTGCCTGGTGTGTTCGTGCGAGATGGTTACTGCTTGAGCTCGCAGTGATGGATCATGGCGATTACTCTGAGCGAATCGGTGTGTCGAGTGGCTGGTATGGGCTTGAGCGTGCGGTGTGTCGTGCGAGAGTACTGACCTGAGCTGCGGTGAGTGTCGCGAGGTTACTGCTGAGGCTGGCCGGCAGTGTGGGTTGTGCATGAGAGTGCTTGCGGGGCACTTGGGGATGACGAGAGAGACGAGAGAACGACGAGACAGTGACGAGAATGCGAGACTGTGTTCTGCGTGGGGTTGGGGCACTGGCCTGAAGCTGAGCGGTGTTGTATCGACGCGTACCTGTTAGACACCGCATTTCAAAAATCCACGAGAACTGCAATCCGATACACCGACATGCAGAGACCTCGGACGCGTCCTTCCCCTTCACGATAAAGAGACAACCTGACGTAGGTCGTAAGGGTTGACGCGAGACCGGAGTGTTTCGTGCCGAGAGGGTTACTGGAACTGAGCTGCCGGAGAAAGATGAGAGAGCGCGAGAGCTGAGACGAGAGAGAGTGCAGTTTACGGCTTGCGGGTCCGGCTGTACTTGTGTTTTCCTGTTGCGCAGGTACGGCCTGAGCTCTGCGGTGGCTCCGGTTTCCTCCGAGGTTACTGCTTGATGCTTGCGGTGTGGTGCCGGCGAGTACTTGCGCCAGCTGCCGGTGGTGTCGTGTGCGGTAGGTTTCGCTGCGGGAGCGCGGGGAGTGTTGCCGGCGAGGGGGCGGCGTGGGGAGGTCCGGTGGCGAGGACTGGCGGAGACGGCCAGGAGCGCGAGAGAGAGAGAGCGAGAGAGAGAGCCAGGCGCAGAGCAGAGAGAGAGAGGAGAGGGAGAGAGAGACGGAGGAGAGTGAGTACGAGAGGCGGAGGGTATAGGAGCAACGTGAGCTGCGGTGTGTACTGGCGCAGGGGACCGTTGCGGCGGGAGCGGCTGGGGGGTGCGGGCGGTGCGGGGGGGCGGTGGGACTTGCGGGAGGAGAGAGAGACGAGAAGAGGAGAGAGGATGGCACATCGGTGGAACGAAACGGTGGAAGGGGGTGCGAGTGTGATCAAAGGTGGGCTCAGCAGCGGCCGTCCACGCTGTGGGGGAAGACACTCTGTTTATCCGCTGTTACACCAATGAAACCGGACTGTGAGGTGGTGCATCGTTGTTGGATGTTATCTGGGCTTCTGGTGGCGTGACGTGTCGGGGTTGCCGGGCGGAGCGGCGGGGGCGGGCAGGGGGGCGGGCGGGGCAGCTGCGGGGGGCGCGAGAGGCCGAGGCAGCAGGAGCTCATCAGTGAGGGGAGTTCAAAATCAATAAACTTATCGACAACGGGTTATGGAGTTTGCTCGACCTTGTAATCTGTCATACACTAATTAATTACTAGCAGAGCACCCACTAGCGATCTGAAAGTCAGCTAATACAAAGACACTACGAAGGGGTATGAAGGGTCAATCGTCGGGAAGAAGATGGAGGGACCAGTAAGGTGGTCATTGGGCAGGGTGGCGCAAATAATAGGGTTCTAGGGCGTTGCACATTCGATCGTGATGTCTGGGATCGGTACAACCCCCACTTATACGAAAACCGCGGCTACGATCTTTTCAATTCTGGCCGAATCTCGTAGTAAAACTAGCACGCCTCCTACGATGTCAATACGACTTTTGGATTGTCTGTAGAGGCGCTGCTACACAATAAGTATGAGAACGTACCTCGCAAGAGAAAACATATTGTATGCGCAAAAACGCGTTGCAAGAAATCTCCCTCCCCTTTAGCCCAATGATAGAGTTATACGTAGTCAAGAAACAGTTTGGACGAGAATCCTAAATACGAAACGTGTCGTCACCCCCAACGAGCGATACACGTGCTGGGAGAAAATATGCGGGCGTGCGATATGGGCAAAAATACATCGAAATAGTATATTGAAAATAATATCGAAA